ACTACTACTACGACGACGACGACGACTACTACTACTACTCCCGCTGCTGCTGCTTCTGCTGCTGCTGCTGCTACTACTACTACTACTACTACTACTACTACTACTACTACTACTACTACTACTGCTATACTACCACTACTACTACTACTACTACTACTACTACTACTACTACCACTACTACTACTACTACTACTACTACCACTACTACTACTACTACTACTTCTGCAGCAACAACAACAACAACCATTAGTACTGCTACTACTACTACTACTACTACTACTACTACTACTACTGGGATTCATCACCCTCGTTTGTCGCACTACTCTTTGCTTGTTGTTTGAGGTGGGTGTGGTTGGGTGGGGGGTGCGGGGGGCGGGCTGATAACGCGGCATGTTAGTGGCATAGAAGCTTCCATGTTGATTTTCAGGTACTCCTCACCGCCTGTCATGAGTTCCTGGCTCTGACCTTTGCATGAAGCATCGACCATAGTACCATAGCATACCGTACCATAACATACCTCACCATACAATGCCATAGCAGAAGGTACATCATTCATATCATACCATATCATATCAGAGTTTGGTATCATGTCGCCTTGGCTGGCCACCGCTTTGGCTATGGTCTTGTTGCTTCGCCCAAACGGCCAGAAGCAAGACGGATTGCACAGAACAAACAAAGTCGGCGGGTGTAGTCGTAAGGAGGCCGGTGCGCACATAGATGCTTTGAGTTCTATCTTTTGTACAGAAGGCACCCATCTTCGAATGTTTTGCGAACCTGCTGCATCTACGCATATGATGTGGAAGATTCGCTTGTGCCAAAACATGGCGTTCGAGGACACGTCCTGGCTGCTGCCGCCGTGAAAAGCTGCACTTGGAAACCGAGCCGCCAAAACTCAAACCTATCGACGCCGAAATCAAGCAATCTCCAAATGCAGATGAAACATGTCGCCTTGTTCACAGTCTCACACAAGCCTCCAAAATGTGCTCAATACAAAGGCGAAAACACATTTTCACATCAACACACTCCATATATGTGCAAATGAGCCACACCCCTGATGACATATTTGCCGCGCCTGTTGCGCGGCAAACGTAGTAGATCGCGCCTAGTACCAGGACCAGAACCACTACCACTACCACTACCACTACTACTACTACTACTACTACTACTACTACCACTACTACTACCACCATTACCACTTAAACCCTATCGCAGGGGCCTCCCCAGCCTGGGTAAGTTTAAAGGGAGGCTTACAGCATCGTTTGCCCTTGAAGCCGGAATCCACCAACCACCTACGTGGCAAGTCTGGCGCTGAGATGGGATGCATCTCTCCAGGCCGTTTGATCGTTGCCCTGCCGCGGTGGTTCCGACGAACCAGCAGGTGGGCGCAGATTCTTTATTGACGATTGACCAGCGCGGTACAATATCAATGTACAGTAAACTGCCAAGGACGAATTCAAATCAAAGTCAAAGCAACTGCAATAGTCGGAATTTTTAGGATTAGCGATAATATCAGCTGAAATTGCCGGGGAATCGTAATCGATCAGCAATTACTGATAGAATGTGAGGTCTGACCGCGATGGCAGTGACAGCGTGATGACTCATGACGGCAGCAGTCGAAGGTAAATTGAAGATAGCAAGGATCGTTACAGGAGTGGTAGTACTAGGCGTAGTCGTCGTAATGGTAGTAGCAGTAGTAGTAATAGTGGTAGTAGCAGCAGTAGAAGTGGTAGTGCGAACAGTAGCAGTAGCAGTATCAGTACCAGTACCAGTACCAGTACCAGTAGCAGCAGTACTAGTAGCAGCAGCAGCAG